ACATATGTTGACGGGATATGAAAAGACACAAGGACTTCATCAATAACTTCAAAGAATAAGATATCACCACCAATTCTGCATATCTATACTACAATTTTATAGCAGCTTAAAAAACGTGACATATTTATATATATATATATATATATATGCATATGCATATCTATATATAATTCTCTTTTTTTTTTTTTACAGAAAAAAAAGGGAAGATTTAACACATTTGTTTGCCCACAATATATCTACATGTATATTCGGAATTTAGTTTGAGATTAATTTTTAATTTTAAAAAATATATAAAAATTTAATTTTAAAATTAATAAATTTTTATGTAATATGAAATTAGAAAAAGAAAATAGTTTGATGATTTACTTGAAAATAATTTTGAAAAAAAATTGATGAAAATTTAGGTTCAAAAATTGAAGGTTAAAATGCAATTAAGAAAAATTGCGCAACGTAAAACTGCGTAGTCAGCAACTCCGACGAATCAGAGTGCGATGCATAACAAGGCAAACTGATTCAGTGCCATGCGGGAGACTACATTGGCGATCCACGTACCTTACGATCGAACAGTTTGGAAGCGTTTCCGCGCGCGTAGACAGTCCGGATATGTTCCCTCCTCATGCGCGATTGAACGGTCGTGATTACACACGATAAACGGTTCAGATTCGTTCTCTTTTTAAACGCGATCGTAAGATCGAGATCAAAGTGTGATGAACAGTCTATATTCATGTATTCTTTAAACGCGATCAGACAGTCGAGATCAAACGCGATAAAAACAGTCGAATTAACGTGAGACGGGTATAAATATCTCGCATGACACTGAATCAAAATCCTAGCCGTCAGCTTCCCGCCAGAGAATAAGAACCAGTCATCGGAGAAAGGAACCGATCGTCATCTGCTGTCGTGCCAGAGCCACCTCTGACCGCTAGAAAAGCTAAAAAAAATTCTATCAACTCGGAATTTGATTCCGAGCACCCCCATTACCAAATCGGAGGAAAAATAACGGCAGGTGAGCAAAAAAACTGCGAGTAAGGACTGACGGCGCCACCGCAGGCAAAACTCGAAACCTCTTCCGATGAGCCCCTTTCCAGTTTTCGTTTTGTAAAATTTTTCCACTATTGTATTCATCATTCTGCTTTCTACAGGTTGACTGAAGAAAAATACACAAACATGAAGGTGAGCTGGTGGAGCCGCCGCACCGAAAAATTCTGTTGCCGGTAGGTTCTCATTTTTTAACTTTTTTGGGGCAACCGATGTCCTCTAACATGTTTTCTCGCAGGGATAGGTATAAAACCGGCTGAAAATGGTCAGGCCGAGGCAAACTACCGCCGCAGATGGTGGTACCGTCGTGCCAGAATTCTAAAATTGACCGAAAAAAGTTTTTAACACCGATTTTAAATTTTTTAGAGGTATTTTTAGGTACGTGAAGAGTGTTTTAATCTCTGCAAAAAAATTCAGGAAATTCGGGGACCGCCAGTAGACGCAGTAGAAGGTTTGGTGTTTCGGACACTGATTCGAATAAGAATCCTTCACTTTATTCTCCGTTATAGAATTGAAGCTTAATAATCGGTAATGTGGTATTTTGTGTAATTTAAAAAATTTTGAGAATAATTACAGTTTACCAATGGAGTCGAAAACTGATTAGTCATTTACTTGTTGTCCTATTTAACTGATTGTTAAATTTATAACTTTAAATACGTGATGATATAGTGTAATGGTTAATTGATTCAATTGTGTTTTCTTTATATATATATATTGTTTGTCTTGCGTGATTTAATGTTGGTTTGTGAAATTGGTAATTAATATGCAAACGAAAAATTGATTGGTCATGTGAATTAATGAATAGTAGCCTTACTGGATATCTTGTAAGATGATGGACAGACCGAATACATAGAGAACCCTACTATGAACGTTATCTCATACCGGACGAGGTATCGAGTATTGGTATTTTTTATGCTCATACCGGATGGGGTACGAGACAATCCGATTCACCTTCGTACTGAACGGGGTATCGAATATTGATATTTTTTACGCTCATACCGGATGAGGTATGGGGACAGCCCGATTCACCATCGTACCAGACAGAGTATTGATGTATGGTATTTTTACCGCTCATACCAGACGTGGTATGAGGGTGACCCTATTCACCCTCATACCTACGAGGTATTGAGCGATATTATTTTTGGCGTTCATACCGAACGAAGTATAGGAACGATCAGTTAGTTGAAAATGTTGAATATTGGTTCACGCGTGGTAGGATATCCTTATGGATCCCTAGGGATACCAGTAGGTAAATAAAAAGGGAATGTAATTTTTATTGTTCACTCAAAAATGATATTGGAATATTATTTGAGTTATTGGCTCTATAGGTCGATTTTAGAAATCTCATAACGGTAAATATATGTAATAAATATTTTTTTTATGATAAATAAATTTACTTAAATTGGGAGTTTCATTTGTTATTTTTATGATTTTTACCAACCTTCAGTCTCTGTATTGATGGGTAATGTAATATTTTTACTAGAATAATATGGTTCACTATTTCATTAATTAGTTCAGATCAAGAGGGACAAGACTCAGATTTTGATCAACAAGAGTGTTGTAAATAGTTCACCACCCGAACTCTTTTCAAAAGCTAGTTAAGGTTGTCATAGAATGCTTAGTATATTGTATTTTGTTTATTTTTTTGATTTTCGTTTGTTTTTTTTTTAGAAGATACATTATTGTAACCCTATCGGACATTATAAATTATTGTGTGAAGAATATAAGCACTAAATTTTATTGTTTTGCGTCCGCATTTAATTAATGACTTTATTTAATATGAAGTTTCGGTTTCAAATAAATCCGTTTATATTTTACAAACCCAAATTCATTTTAACCCAAGCCCAATCAATTTTGTTTTTCTAATCCATTTAAATTATGAATTGCTACATAATCAATAATTATTTTATTACTGTAAGCATAAAAAGTTGGGGAAAAAATAAGAGAAACTTTTCTGAAAAATAGAAATATATTTATACTCTTATATAAATTTACGGTGCGAGAAGATTACCACATGTTGGGAAATGAAAACGAAAACGAAATTTATAGTGGTTGGTAAAGCCCTTATTTTATGTATTCTCATATATAATTTTTATTTAAAAATTATTGTTAGTATTTATTTTATTAATAAATTAATGCATACTCTAAGCTAATTTATAATTACTGGCACAATCATTATGAACGTCTCGGCTGGCGAGAACAGAAGAAATAAATTACCGCGAGGACTTGAATATATTGCATGATTTCATTACAAGCGAATATTAGGGCAAATAAAATTTCATAATATTGATTTTTTTTTTTGTCAATGCAAATAAATACAATTTTTATTTTTAATAATTGTATGCTAATGTTTAAACATAACAATTCTTATGAATTATAAATTATTAATTAGATATTAATGTTTGGATTAGGGAAAAATTAAATAACAATCCATTTTTTTATTTTTTTGAGAAATAAAATAGTTAATAATTAAAAAGTTATTGAGTATTTATTTTCTCAACAAATTAAAATTATGATATTTGCTTTATATTTTATTTTAGTAATATACTTTTAATTGCCCAAACAAATACTATATGATTATTGCGCGAGACACCGTATAAAACCCACTTTTAATGAGCTAGATGAGCATTTAATGCTGTCAACAACTGCCTATTGTGGTAACAACTAAGGTATTTATGGCACTATAAACATTATTGGTCTTCTATTTTTAATAATAAAATCATAAGAAAAAAACAGTATCTGTCATTAATTTTTGTAGCTAAATGTGAAAAAACGTTGAAGTATTTTAACCCATTGTAATCGATTCATAGTATTTATTTTATTAAAAAAATATAATAAATTTAATTAAATTTGATCACCACAATCTCATTAATATTTGTGAATAAAATTATTAATTCAGTTGAATCAAATATTATAAACAATCACCTATTAATTTAATTTCATTAAAGAGTCTACGATTTTTAGATTAATTAAGAAAATGACTTCACAAAACTTAAAACTAAATGAGAGTTTTTAAAATAAATTGTAAATTTTATTTTTAAACTGTATCACATATATTTTTACTTCTCAAATTGGGCGTACTGATATATGGGAGGTGAAGATCATGAGATTAAGCTCCTAATATCTTTTATTTTTTAAAAAATAAATTATATTATATTTACCATCTATGTATCACATGTATTATTAATTTTAATTTGGGTGTATAAGATATAGTGTTAAATCATAAGATTGAGCTTTGAATATCTTTTATTTCTATTAAAATCTTTAAAATTATATAATATATATATCATAAAAAACTAAATTAAACATTTCATACGAGTTTATAAATAAATACCCATAAGGCATCCACTTTATCCTTTTTAGTGTCTTTTATTTCTTTCAAATCTTTAAAATTTATATACATACATATATATATATATATGTAATATCATAAGAACTAAATTAAACATTTCATAGGAGTTTGTAAGTAACCACAAGGCATCCACTTTATCCTTTTTAATTTACTGGCTTGTTTTGTAGTACATTTTTTATTACGTGGAATTTGGAATTTGCCCACCGAGTCAACACGGTGACATGATGTGTCATGTAATTTACAGCTGGTTCTACGCGTTTCATTTTCATTATTGATTCTCTTTCACTTCCACCCCCGGTTTTATCCTCAAATTACCATTTTGTCCCTGCATCTTTTTAAATAAAAAATAAATTACAGTTTATTCCTAAACAAAACTTTTTCTGTTAGCTCATTCACAGTTAATTATGAAAATCTTAAATTAGCTTAAGATTATGAGGTTTATTTTTATTAAATTTTAAATAAAATAATTACGTTATATACAATTTGAAAATAACAACTTTTATATTAAATTATTCAGAAAAATGTAAACTTAATTTTTAAATAAGCGTAAAAGGGCAATATCGTCATTACATATACTGGAACGTACTCTCTGCATAATTTTTTTTTTTGGCTACTTGTCAATATCCTTTTCAATTCAAAATCTAACAAAATTTGCCAGCTATCTTCACATCCATTTACATGCAAAGCTACCATAAATATCAATTACTCGATCGCAGTCTTCTGCAATCTCAGTTCCGATTCAACCTACTGAGTCATGTCCGTCACCCAAGAACCAACTCAGCCCCCTCAATCCTCATCAACTTGTACCCATCTAGAATCCGCCCCGGTCATCAACTCTCGCTCCAATAAACGAACCCGCCAAACCGACACCCCATTCCGTGGCGTGCGCAAGCGGAGCTGGGGCCGTTACGTTTCGGAGATACGGTTGCCGGGTCAAAAAACCCGGATATGGCTCGGGTCTTTCAGATCCCCTGACATGGCTGCTCGGGCTTACGACTCGGCTGCGTTTTTCCTCAAGGGAAACTCGGCCTCCCTGAATTTCCCCAACTCCATTGACTCACTTCCTCGACCACTCTCGTCTTCACGCCGCGACATACAGTCGGCTGCGGCCCAAGCGGCTCTTGTTTCTGTCGGGTCGGATCCTAAAAATGAATGGCGTGAGGGCAGAGAGAACACGACGTCGTTTAAAGAGGATAGTGAAGTTGATTACTTTCCGCCACTAAGTCCACTCACCTTTGACTCGGTGAGCGGGGAGTTGTGTCTTATAATGGATGATGACGAGATTCGATTAGCTTCCTATTTTGATTTGTAAGAATAAGATGTACATATATATATATATATATTTATATATGTGTGTGTGTGTGTGTGTGTGTGTGTGTCTACGTGCGTCGATATATATATATATATATATATATATATTTTCCTTCTCAATTTTCTTCCGATGTGTGTTTAGTATGTACATATAAGAATATGGTGTAGGAGTAGGATTACTTCCCACAAGATGAAAAATAAAATAAATGTAAATTAATGGTTATAAATTTCGTTTGATTTATTAAATTAAATTACATTACATCGAAATCAGGTGTATAGTTTTTACGCATTTATAATTTATTGAAGTTATCTACTACGCATACACGCTTAAAAACACAGTATTCAATTTTCGCACATTCAACACCAAATAGGAAACTAATTCGATATCCAAGATAATTTCTAAAATTCAATTATTATTTAATATTTTCATATTTATAAATTTATATTTAAAAACTAAAATTTTTATAATTAAATGTATTTAGGTAATTTCACATGTCATTAAAGGAGAAAATGACAAATAATACAATTTAATGAACTAAAGCGTAAACATCAAAAAGTAGGTTGTTGGGTTAGAGTGCGTGAAATGGGAACCAAATTAAATGATTATAAAGAAACAAAGCGTCTCGAGATTAGGCAAAAATACCATAAATTTCATTTTATTTTATAAATTGAATTATTAATTTAAAATTAATTTTACATACAGTAACCACCAAAAATATCTCCAATACTATGAATTGATGAAGAGTTATGTGATTAAACTAAAATTATAAATTAATTAGAGAAAAAGAGTTTGTTGAAGCATGAAATTCACATGATTAAACTGACAAGCTCAGAAATAGAAGCTAGCCATATATTAAATTCAGTTATAATTAAACCATCTGATTATACACGCAGTTTTAGCCTACAGTTCCTACCTCTATTATTTACATAATTTAATTAATTAGTATAATATTAATTAATTTGTTCTTAATTAAGGTGAACCGGAGGGGAATATTTGCTTTGCTGAAGAAGAAGATTATGATGAGGGGGAAAGCGGTACTTCTGTCAGGAAAAGCCATTTTGATGGCATGCATAGGGAGCTTTCTTGCAGGGTCTCTGTTTGGTAGCAGGAATTGGAGTACTCGCTCGGCGAATTATGATCTACCCAGGGATAACCATCACCGGCTTCCAATCATTCCTTATCATGTCAACAGGAACATGGTACAGTTGCCATCTGATTCCCGTCATGATCATGGCCATAATAATCCAGTAAGTGCTTCCTGGCTTAATCTGAGTTATTTTTTTAAGTGCTTATAAGCTGAAGGATAATCCGTTATCCATTAAATTATTATTTAATAACCAATAAGTAACTAATTTCTAACAACCTCTAAAAATTAAATGATTTTGTAATTTAATTTTGTTTTTCAAAAAAACTTTTTAGAGAATCGTTTTAAGTTAAACTAACAAATATGATTTAATTCTGTTTCGAATCAATCAGGGACTGCCTCAAGGAGTAGCTGGAGATGTTATGGGGGAAGTCGTGAAAACGCATCGAGCAATCCAGTACGTGAAGTATACATCTACATGTAAATATATATATATATGTACACATCGACTACAATATATATATATATATATATAATAATGAGTTGGATGCTATTAATTAGTTATGAATGGCTTGACGATACTGACGATGATGATGGTGATGATAAATTATATGTGTAGATCACTTGAGAAAACTATATCAATGCTAGAAATGGAATTAGCAGTAGCTCGCACGAGCAGCAGTAATGGCGGCGATGGAATTCAAAATCCACCGCCGACGAATCACACATTGCAGAAGGCCTTCGTGGTGATCGGAATTAACACGGCGTTCAGTAGCAAGAAACGGCGGGATTCGGTCCGCGAAACGTGGATGCCAGGAGGAGCGAAGCTGAAGAAACTGGAGAGAGAGAAAGGAATAGTTATAAGGTTCGTAATCGGACACAGCGCCACTCCCGGCGGCATTCTGGACAAAGCGATCGACGCCGAGGAGGTAGAACACGGCGATTTCCTCCGGCTGAAACACGTGGAGGGGTACCACGAGCTATCCACCAAGACTCGTCTCTATTTCTCCACTGCGGTTTCGATTTGGGATGCTGAATTTTACCTCAAGGTCGACGACGATGTCCATCTGAATTTAGGTATTTATGTATTATTAAAAGTGAAAAAATAAATAATTAAATATATTTTTGGCTAATTACGTTTGTTGTTATAAATTTTAATAACGGAAGGTACTTTAGTGAGTAGACTTGCAAGATACCGATGGAAACCCAGAGTATATATTGGGTGCATGAAGTCGGGGGCCGTACTCTCTCAAAAGTAAGTAATGATTATATACATTGGAATTCTCTATTTTGCCTATTTTCTTTAAGTTTGTTGTTATTAAACCACTGCATCATTAATATTTATATAAAAATTGTTGATTCAAATCAATCAATTATAATTTCATTAGCTACTTGAGTACTTTGCTCCACCGGAGACCGGGGAGAGGGAGGTCACTCATCATTTTAAAGAGTTCTATTGAAAGAAAATGACCAGACATGATTGATCAATTACTATTTATAAATTGGTAGAGGTGTGAAGTATCATGAACCAGAATATTGGAAATTTGGGGAAGAAGGAAACAAGTATTTCAGGCATGCGACAGGACAGATCTATGCCATCTCCAAGGATCTCGCAGCATACATCTCCATTAACCAGTAAATCTCTTATCATCTCAAAAAGATTTTATGTTATGAGTACGGCTGAATATTTTTTAATAAATCATTTATTGTTTGAACGATTTTTATTTGGAATCATAAATTTTGTAGGCCCATACTTCATAGATATGCTAATGAGGACGTGTCATTGGGCTCCTGGTTCATCGGCTTGGAAGTCCAACACGTTGATGAGAGGTCCATGTGTTGTGGCACTCCACCTGGTAATATCCCATACGTATAAATAATTTGTGTGTGTGTGTGGTAAAATAACAACGAATTTAGCGAGAGACATATGTTTAATATACTTATCTCTTGTATTGACCCTTGTCGAGATGGAAGTCATGTAACAATTATGTTACCAAGAGTCTTTCACACATCAAAAACATAAAAACTGAAGCCCACAGCACATATTGCCTTAGAGAATAATTATTCTTTTTTGTCGCCAACAATAACTTACCTATTCGTTTTTAGTTGCATTATCTCATTCTTTCTCCGTACCCTATAATACTAACAACACATGTTTCTTTTAAACCAATAAATAATGTTTGTTTTCAATTATATCTATTTGTTGTAGGACTATCAGCTAGCAATAATCTTTATATAAATTGTTTTTATACAATTATGTCAACGTCTAGGGGATACATATAAAATTAATGCAAACAAAAATTGACAGTTGATAACTTATTTGAATAATTTTAAAAAACGTATTGATTAATTAAATAAATTTTTTTTGTAAGTAATCAATTTGGACAAAAATAAATATTAATAAAATACATGAGTAGAAATTTAGGATTATGAAGTCATTTGACTAAATCCAACAAAAAGTTGGTTTATTTGAAAAACAGTAGTAAATTGATTTGAACATTTATATGATTTTGATATTTAAGCCTCAGGAAAATAACACTGTGCAATTGGGATTTGACACTTGCCAGACTGTGAATGGAAAGCACAAGCTGGAAATGTGTGCGTGGCGTCATTCGACTGGTCTTGCAGTGGAATATGCAAATCCGTTGAGAGGATCAAACACGTGCATACCTCGTGCGGGGAAGGCGACGGTGCTGTTTGGAATATTGATCTCTAACTTCTTTTTCTTTTGACGAATAAAAATTCTCTGTATTGTATTGGTAGCGAAATTTAGTACGGAGGGAAGTATCAACCTAAATCTTGATGATGTGCGCCTCTGACTATTATGTCATTTTAAAACTAATTAACAAATTAAATTAATTATAAATTAGTTTTAAGGTAAGGGTGAGTGTCAGACTCACTGCTCGAGTTATAAATAATTTTGGAGGAATTAATGCAAATGTCGTTTTGCTTTAATACTATTTGCAAATAATGCGAGATCCTATTCCTCTTTAAAGTTAGGAACACTTGTTGGAGAAGTTCCCGCTAAAATTTTCATAAACCCAAATGATTCACTTCGCATTAACCGCCTTATGGGTTTTGATGAAGTGGCCGCCGAGTGCATGAATTTTCTATTATACCATCTGAAACGTGGATATGTCTTTTATATTCGTCATTGGTCTACGTTGACCAAACCGATTTTTATTGGATGTACCCGTACGTCGTCCATTCTAAACGGTCCTATGATAATTTATACATCACGCCTATCACCTTTCAAACAAAAAAGTAATTCAGTTTTCAAATTTTATTTAATTAAAAAATCCCCTGACGCAGGAAAAAAAGAACCGCCTTGGCGTGGTCCCAGAGAGCCAGATGGGCCCCACTA